CCTCAGCATGGCCAGAGAAGCGCTGTGTCGGTGTGCGCCCGGGATCCGAACCTGGGCTGCCAGTAGCAGAGTGCGCACACTTAACCACTAAGCCACGGGGCCGGCCCAAGAGTTGCTATCTCTGAGAACAAAGTTGGATGCTTTGGAAAGACTTGATAACAAGGCGAGTTGCTAAAAAATGGTGTCAAAGTAAGTAGGCAATATAATTGTTAAATATGAGAAAAAATGTTAAAAATCTAGAAAGTTTCTATACTCAGATTGCTTCGTAAATGTCTTAATTCTTCTATCACTTAAAAAGAAGCAGAAATTGAAAATCAGAGAGGTTGTATTATGGACATGATGTAGTCAGTCTATCCAAGAAAGAAAAAACTCCCACTGATGGGCCTATGCTCAAAGAAAAATCATTGGTCCTATGTATATCAGAAGACGTAGGACAAATCAGAATAAATGTACACTTATATAATTTAGAAAATGAAATGTTTAGCATGTGTATCATTTTTAAAGCTTCTTTAGCTTAACTGACTTTGGTTAACAACCATTTTCTGGCTCAGACTACATCAAGAAAGAAGGTTTTAATTATCGAGTTTAAAGTGTACTAAAATACAGTGCTTCAAGATCAGTGGGGCACATTTGGACTGTGAAAATTTGAACTAGACACATTTTCAAGCTATAAATAAGCATAATAAAATAAAATTCGAAGTCCCTTCTCCAAGTTTCTCTCTCACTATGCCCCTTTCACTAGGCTGGATGCACTTTCCCTTACTCACTTTCCTAGCCCTCTGACTTTGCTCAGGGTCTGTCCTTCAGCTGAATGGCCTCCCCTCAGTGTCCCTGTATAAAATCCACCTAGACCTCAGCTCAAAATGCCACTTCCTCCCTGAAGCTTTCCCTCTTCTTCCTACCTGGAAGTACCTTTCGCTCCTATGAAACCCCAACAAATTATGTGTACCTCTCATCCCTTTTAACTTGCGTGAAAGCTCCTATAATATAACTTCTACATTCCACAGGTGATAGTAAGCTTCTTCAGAATGGTATCAATCATAAAATATAGCCCTCAGCTTTACACAGTCGGTGCTCAATAAACACTATAAGAACAAAGTAATTCTACAACTGTCACAATAAGCCATTCAGTTGACATTCTCAGAAAGTAATTCTAAATTTAGCTTACCACAGTATCTGAAGATAAATGCTGTCAGCATAATTGAAAACTGGAGCTGCCAAAGAAGCTGCCACCAAGATTAACTGGACTGCTGTGTTCACCTAAAAAAAAGAAGCCACAAATGAACAGTGCCAACCAGATCCTGTTTCAAGCTCACGAGACAAAGGCATAACCCATCACAGTTTAACACAACATACCCCCAGCAGGCTTCATGTTGTAATATCCTTGCCAAAGAAGCTGGCATTCACAAAAGAGAGAGAACTTCACTAACTGACCCATCTGTGCACACAGCTGCCCTTTAGAGTGAGGGGAAGGGCAAGTGTCAGAAAATACTACTATCTTGAATTTCCATAGCAATTCAATAATGCTGCTGAGTTCTGTGCCTTTTTTTCAGTTGCCCATTAAAACAGTCTTGTGAATATGGAAATAATTAAGCTACCTCTTCACAGGTAAAAGGCAATGAGTTAAGTGACTTGTCTGCAGTCATAGCAGGTTACAGATCCAAATCTAGAACCCAGATTTCCCGGCACTTCATTCAGTGTTCCCTTTACCTGCCTACCTGTCAAATCTATGAGGTTAGAAAATTGAAATGCATTCATCTCCCTGAGAGAGGCTCTCTGGAGGACATGAGTAGGTTTCCCTACCCCAAAAGACAGCATGGAGGAGAAAAGGAAAAATAGAACCAGAAAGACACCGGAGACTCCCTCTCCTCATTATAAGTGGTCTGGGGAAGAGTGGGTGAAGTATGAATCAGTAGGTGCTGTGCCTAGAGAAGCACCTATGTTCTATCATCCATTCTGTAGCCAAATTACAAGGATTCCACTTTGTTTTAAAAACAAATAATAAGGGCCAGCCCCGTGGCTTAACGGTTAAGTGCACACGCTCCGCTGCCGGCGGCCTGGGTTCGGATCCCAGGCGCACACCGACGCACCGCTTCTCCGGCCATGCTGAGGCGGCGTCCCACGTACAGCAACTAGAAGGATGTGCAACTACGACATACAACTATCTACTGGGGCTTTGGGTGAAAAAAAAAAAAGTAGGAGGATTGGCAATAGATGTTAGCTCAGGGCTGGTCCTCCTCAGCAAAAAGAGGAGGATTAGCATGGATGTTAGCTCAGGGCTGATCTTCCTCACAAAAATAAATAAATAAATAAATAAATAATAAAAATTGTCTGGAGAACTTCTTGCAAGACCAAGGATGTGAGGCATTTGTCCCTGCACCTCTTTAAGCCACTTTCTATGTAGTGCTACACTCAAATCGCTGTACTTGATACAAATATAAGTCTCTTGAATCAAAAAACTCCCATCTATGTAGGGAAAAGTCCACCCCAGGGAGTCTCTGGTATAAAAGTAATCACCCCTCTGCCCTAAAGGTGATCAGTATCCCTAACCTGTTAAACCTCTGTCACAAGGGATGGGGCGAAAGAATGACTGGAGCAAACTTATCAAGGCTACTAGAAAAAACAATGTGCCTCGGGAGGCATTAGTAGTATCCTCTGGGCCTGCAAAGATCGGCATACATCTTCTGTGTGAAGAGGGCTCAGGAAAACAGGATGGACAACTAAGAGTAGCAGTTGTTTATCAGTGAATAAAACTTTCTCCTATCCCCTTCCATGTAACAGTTGATCTTAAAAATAAAAGGACCTTGGGGCCGGCCAGGTGGCGCAAGCGGTTAAGTGCGCGTGCTCCGCTGTGGCGGCCCAGGGTTTGCCGGTTCGGATCCGGGGCTCGCAGCTACGCACTGCTTGTCAAGCCATGCTGTGGCGGCATCCCATATAAAGTAGAGGGACATGGGCACGGATGTTAGCCCAGGGCCAGTCTTCCTCAGCAAAAAGAGGAGGATTGGCAGATGTTAGCTCAGGGCTGATCCTCCTCACAAAAAAAATAAAAAATAAAAAAATAAAAGGACCTTATTACACAGTAGTTTCACCACAGGGAGGGGGGTAGTGAAACCAGAAAGGAATCTTCATAATCTCCTGGTATCTCAATCAAGATGCAATTACATTTCCACTCCCTCTACCTTCCCTAAATGGTGGCCCTAAAAGTTCATTCAGAGACTGAAATTCTCAGACCACGAACAGAAAACATGACACATATACTAAAGATCCAAAGAGCTCAGAGGACAAAAGAATTTAGTTAATGACCCCACTCTCTGTCCCCTATAGTCAATGCATTTAAATCTGTCTAATTTTCAGCTGTTCCAGACTGAGATTTATATTCATTATAATAAATATTCACAAGGGAATAACTTAAAAGAATGTTGTGTGTCTCTTACCTTGCTGATGAAGGTTGGTTTTAACCTCGCAGTGGCATAGCAAGGATTGAAATACTTAGAAAGTGTTCGCTGGCAGAGGACAAAAAAGATAAAGTTTATTCAATTTATTCTTCAAGTTTAAAACAAACATTTTGTTATTATATGTAACAGTTACAGAGTGTTTACCACATGCCTGGCTCTATGCTAGATGAGCCCTTTATCTGCATCTTCTTTTATTATCCTAAATGAGCAGTATCTACATTCTTTATAAGTCATACACAGGTTACTGAAAATAGATTTTTAAAATTTAAATATTTATTTCTCAATTCCTATAAAATTCTAACAATAACTATCATAAAGTCTGCCTGACTATATCTTTTTACTAAGTAAACTCAATAAATCTCCCTTATCACTGTTTTCTTTTATAGACTAAAAAAGAAAATGAATAAAATATTCCTATTTTCCCTGTGTTGTGAACCAAAAGATGAGCATATGCTATGCTTATGTGCTCAAATATTTATAGAACCAATGAACAAATATGCAGACAAACCATTCCATGCTCATACAACTGTGATTTTAAAACCCAGTTCTACTTAATCCATAGCAGAGGCTAAATTAGACAGGAAAGGGGGCTTGGTTATGCAAAACACTCCTAACAGAGTTTGCTGCTAGGGACAGGGCTAGCTAGTCTAAATTTTATGTGGTATCAACTGAAAAGATTTTGACTTAAAACAAAAACATGGCTTTTTAAAATTGACTATTAATACGTTCACTGAAAAACTACCTTAACGGGTGATTCAAACAGCAAGATGATAGTTATATCTGAGTTTTTTTTCATCCTTGGTTAATGGATCAAAAAAAATTGCCATAAATTATTCCCATAAAGTGAAACTCAGTATATACAATCATGATTTTTTTTTTGCCTTAAGTTATAAGTAATAGTAAAAATATATTTTTTTGAAATAAACTCACCGGTGTTGGAAGAGTTCGATATCTGACATAAAAAACAGCAGCAATCAACATTACATCTCTTGAAATTATCATATAAGTAAGTGGAACTGAAAATCAAATATAAAGTAATTTGATTGGGATTTTGAAAATTACTAAGATATTATGCATACAATGAAGCCTCATTCAGCCTTACCATAAACTGGTGTTTCACATAAGTAAAAATTTTATAATAAACAATTGCTGATAGTTTAGGATCCTTATAGTGAACCACTGATTTTCATGTTCTTCTTTAACCTGCCCTCAAAACAAAGTGAAAAACAGACTATGGCTTTTAAACTCTATGGCTGCCTTTCAGAATGTTGATCCTCTTGCCTCTTTTTCTATTTTTTTTTTCTTGTGTATGTTTTAAAGCTGCAGTTATCAGTGTCAGCTCTACTCAGCCCCCATTATCTCTTTGTTACTTCTGAGTTTTGTGTGTTTGGAAAAGAGATCACCATGCATCCTATAATCACATGGAATGAGATGGTAAAGAGGCTAGAAAGGATGTCCTGACATTAGTCTGGCATCTCAGGAGCTTTGACTGTTTGCTTCTGCATTCTAGACTATCTTATGAACAGTAAAATTTGCTGTATGAACCACTTGTGGAGAAACAAAATATCTTCATTCTTGTCTGGCCAGTTCCTACCCAGGCAATTGCTATTTTTTCTCGTGCCCCATTCATTCAATGAATCCTAATTAAATATGAATTCAACTTTTTGATAGTTTTCTCATTATTCCTAAGATTCTACAGCATGGCCCCAGAGCCAGCAGAAGGATATTTTAGATGGATACCCAAGGAACTCCTACTCTCTTCTGAATGAGAATGGGAGGGCAGAGGTCTTGATTCACTAACATCCTTCTGTACTGTAGGAAGTTTTAACCATAACATATATCATTTTTATTTTAAAAAATTACTTTTTTTAAAAAAGGAAAAAAATCCTGAACACTGGGTTCACACTGAGGTTACGCTTATGGTCCTCTGCAGTTGTTTTTTTTTTTTTTGTGAGGAAGATCAGCCCTGAGCTAACATCTGCCAATCCTCCTCTTTTTGCTGAGGAAGACTGGCCCTGAGCTAACATCTGTGCCCATCTTCCTCCACTTTATGTGGGATGCCGCCACAGCATGGCTTGACAACCAGTGCGTTGGTGCACGCCTGGGATCCGAACCCGTGCCGCCAGCAGCGGAGGGTGAGCACTTAATCGCTAGGCCATGGAGCTGGCCCCCTCTGCAGTTTTGACATTCTACTGGTTCTGTAATTTAAGAACAATCTCACTAATTAATTACATATTTAAAATTTAAATCTCTGCTGGGCGAGGCTGTGATGTGTTGATTCTTGGCCTAGTCCTCGATGACAAGACTCTTCCAAAGAGAAAATGCTTATCCATGCAAGTCACGGCATTTGGAGCACACAGAAGGCATGGCTATATGAGCCAAGTACCAAAACAAGGAAGCCATGATTTTCAGGAGGATTTTTGTGCCTGTAAAACAAACTTTTCTATAGTAATCATTAGCTGGCAAAATCTAATAACAATCAGATTTTAAAACTCATGCAAATTACATATAGTAAACGTCCTAAACACGACTGTAGATGAAAATAAAGACCTGTTATTGTATTTCATCACCAAAGGGAAAAAAGGATACAATTTAATCCTAAATAAGAGGTTTCTGCAGAAGAGGAGATGAGGCAGTTCAACACACAGCAAAGACTTGGGTTCTAGTTCTATAAACTACCAAAATTACCATTTATTGAGCATCTGGCACTGTTTTAAGCATTTCATACATATTATGTCATTTAATCCATATACCAACTCCATGAAATATGGACCATCATTATCCTCATTTTAAAAATATGGTAAAAAAGCCTCAGGCAGATTATATAACTTGGCCAAGGTCACCATTAGTAAGTAGTACAGTCATTCCTCGATTAACAACAGGGATATGTTCTGAGAAATGCGTCATTAGGTGACTTCGTCATTGTGTGAACATCAGTGTATTTGGTATTGCCTACAATACCTAGGATATATGGTACTAGTCTTAGGGGACCACTGTTGTATATGCAGTCCGTCACTGACCAAAATGTCATTATGTGGCACGTGACTGTACAGCCAGGAATGGAACCTAGGTCTATGGAATTCACAGCCTATGCTTGGGGCAGTGCATTAGGCTCTAACCCAGCAGTGTGATTAGCAATCAGCGTCTCTGGACTTAGTTTACCACCTGTAACAGGCCGGTGGTAAAAGCACAGACAAAAGCTCCCTCAGGGATTCACATGCACAGCCAGGCTGGGACCCTGCTGCACCACGTGCTCTCTAAGGCCTCTGCCAACTGACAGTATATATACAGGCTCTTACTCTGGTTCTTTGGGCAATGTTATCCAGTTCCCTAGCTTTCGAATCTTCTAACTGCTCCTGCTTTCTCTCTTGGCCTTCCCTTCCCTTCCCTTTTCTTCCAGGACTAAGACAGCTTTCATTTTGCCTATCAGAGTATGATAGTGTGTTAGTGGGAGTAAAAGGGTGTAAAAGTGTCGGGGATAGTTCCAAGGTGTTCTTCCCTACTTGCTAACTCTGTATGAAATACAGTTAATGTCTCCAACAAGGAGGTACATCACAGGCAAACTTTATGAGCATTAAAGGAAAATAATAAAATCAAGTCACTTTTACATATTAAAAGTGGTCACTATCAATATCATGGGTTATTGCCATTGAAAATAATTTTTTTTGTTGTTTTTGTGAGGAAGATCAGCCCTGAGCTAACATCCATGCCAATCCTCCTCTTTTTGCTGAGGAAGACTGGCCCTGAGCTAACATCCGTGCCCATCTTCCTCCACTTTATGTGGGACGCCGCCACAGCATGGCCTGACAAGCAGTGCATCGGTGCGCGCCAGGGATCCGAACCTGGGCCGCCAGCAGCAGAGCATGCACACTTAACCACTATGCCATGGGGCTGGTCCCATGAAAATAAATTTAACAACAGAATGATTATTCTAGAAATTGACTTAAACTAGCAATCAGTATTTGCTATATAATAAACCAATAACATAATGATATGGAAAGGAATCACTATTTGATAAATGTGGCAGAACAAATGTACATAAGCAAGTAGCAATTAACTTAGATTCACATCCTACACTTTTGTAAATGTAACAAATCAAAGAATTTGTTTTCATTCTTCTCTCCCCTCCCACAGAAAGAGCAAGAAGATGATCAGAATTATTTATTATTCCAACTGAGAAAGAAACCAAATTTCTTACTCTTGAAGAAACGAGGCTATTCAAATCAAGGTGGATGGAACTTTTACAAAAATGCAGTATAAAAACAAGAAGATGCAAAACTGCATATATGCATCTCTCTCTAAAACCCTTCTAAAATGACAGTAAAGGAATGAAAGGACATAAAGTCACAAAGAGAATGGGTAAAGGAGACAAATCTTAAAGTTTTAACTGAAGCTGATTAGTAATAACTACCTCAACAGAGTGGGGAGAGCTGAAACCCAAGTCCTTCAGAAAGGGATGCTCACAGTAGACCAACTTGCACCACAAAAACCCAGAAAGTCCACAGAAAGAGCAGTTAGATCCCTGTCCACCAAGCCCTCCCTAACACCATTCTGCTAAGTCTCTACACCAGGGCTGTGGCTCCCTGCAGCTAAGGGTGATTTGTACATTGTAAAATGGTTAGGGGGAAAAAAATCAAAAGAGTACTATTTCACGATACATGAAAATTATATAAAATTCAATTTCTGGTGCCCATAAGCAAAGTTTTATTGGAACATAGCCATATTCATTTACATATTTTCTATGGCTGTCTTCACACTACAGTAATAGCAGAGTTGAGTAACTGCAATCAAGACCACATGGCCCGCATTTACTATCTGGGCCTTCACAGAAAAAGTTTGCCAACCCTCGTTCTACATGTAAATCTCTAAACCTAGGGGTCATTGGGGTTCAGTGGGATCAAGTGAAGAAGGTCAACATACTGAACATTGAGAGCCCCCAGCCTCCTCCCACAGCTTAGCTCCCAAAACACTGGTGGCAAGGCCTCTGCAATCCCTAAGGAGCAGATGGAGAGCTCTTATCTACAGAATAGACCTAAAGGTACTGAGAATTCAGGGCCACGCCTGGTCCCTGCCTATTCACCCTCGAGGGAAGCACAAAACCCAACAAATTCCACTAATAACCAGAGAGCACCAATTAACATTTTATGCGTAACTAAAATGTAAGTGAGCAGCCAAGGATCACCAGACATTTTAGTAAGGTCTACATCATGAAGGAGAGACAAAAACAAATAGAAAAAAATTGGAATTCAAAAGAAAAAGATGTAGTATGGAGGTTAAAAAAAAATCCTTTTTATATATATATATATATATCTCATATATATAGTATGATTCCATTTATATGAAATGTCCAGAGAAGGAAAATTGAGAGACAGAAAGCAGGTTAGTGGCTGCCTAGGTCTGGGAGTAGGAACAGGGAGTGAGTGCAAATGGGCACAGGGACTCTTCTTGGGTGATGGAAATGTTCTAAAACGGGACAGTAGCGATGGCAGTACAACTCTGTAAATTCACTAAACATCATTGAAATGTACACATAAAATGGGTGATTTTTATGGTATAAAAATAAAGCTATTAAAAAAGGAACTTCTTGGGGCTGGCCCAGTGGCATAGTGGTTAAGTTCGCATGCTCCGCTTCAGTGGCCCAGGAGTCTCAGGTTTGGATTCTGGGCGCAGACCTACACACCGCTCATCTAGCCATGCTATGGCAGTGTCCCACATACAAAATAGAGGAAGACTGGCACAGATGTTAGCTCAGGGACAATCTTCCTCAAGCAAAAAGAGGAAGATTGGCAACAGATGTTAGCT